CCCCCCCCCCCCCCAATCTCCCTTTCTAAGACGTCACAAACCCCTCGAAAAATCGAAGGAGTACTTTAAAAAATTCGCAAACAAAAAACCGGAGTCCTTTTGGGGGACAACCTGTTCCTCCGCAGCCGCGCGACGGCGGAGCGCGTGTTCAAGCACAACACGCTCCTGGACGTCTTCAAGGCCATCCTTCACCCCGTGGAAGCCTCCTCCTTTTGATTTGAATTTTGCGCTTGTCACCTCGGTATATGCGGGGATGGCACAGAGGGCCCAAGGAGAGAAGGGCGTGAAACGCTTTGGCTAACGATCTTTGCGCGCGTCTTTGAATTCCGAATTCCTCACCGAAAAGGGACCCTTGGGCGAGTCAGCCGCCGGTGGGCCGGCCCCGGTGACAGGCCGTCTTTTTCTCATCGTCCACAGGGCCCGGGCCGAGCCCGTGCGCCTTCAAGTTGGCGCCGAAATATGAGTTTTCCACTCCCCTCATCCCCACTCGCTCAGTGGGTGGGCACCAGGAGATTGTCTTTCTTCATTGGGAGTGGTACGGAGGGGGGGTAAACAGACCAGAACACGAATGCACTTCTCCATGTATTATCTGTGTCAGTGGTGCTTCTTTTTCTGCTTCCGAAGATGTGGCTATTGTTGTTGAGGTGCCGGTCTGCCATAAAGCCGGAGGAGACCAATGCGCTGCGTGGCGCCTTCTCGTCAATCTACAGTTCGGCCAAATGGGGGAGGAACAAGGACGGGAAGGGGCACAGCGGCGCGGGCAGCACCGAGGAGGCAACAGACAACTTTCGCCTGTTGCTGGAGGACTTTCTGCGACAGCGAAACATCAGGTCTGTCGTTGATGCGGGATGCGGCGACTGGTACAACAGAGACAGACAGACAGACAGACAGAGCACAGAGCCCCGCCCGCCATGCACGTCTATGTGCATTGCATTGCAGGGAGTGGACACAGTTTGTGGATTGGCGTCCCGTAGAGGAATACACAGGTGTGGATGTGGTGCCGTCCGTCATTGCTCGCAATCAGGACTTGTATAGCAGCCACAACAGGACTTTCCACGCGAGGAGCATCTTGAAAAGGGACAACCTGCCTCCTGCAGACGTGAAGAACCGACAGAAGAAGACCAATTACCACACATAACCTCTCTTTCCGGCTTCATTCTGTTGCAGCTGTTGATGTCCAAGGATGTGTTGCAGCACCTGCCTACACCGATGGTACACCAATTCATTGCGAACCACCTCAGTGCTCACGACGGCCGATACAAGTACAAGTATGCCCTCTTGACTAACGATAGATGCAACGTGACAAGATTGCATCGCCGCTGCGTGGACAATCGGGACCTGGGCCAGCCAGGCGGCTGGCGCGAGGTGAATCTGGCTCTCCCGCCCTTCTCTCTGCCGGCGTTTGACTTCTATCGGTGGCCTCACCATTGGTGGGATGACAACGAAAGGGAGAAGGTCACGGTGCTGATGGACTTCACTAGGGTATAGACGTGCCCGAAAAACTAGGAGACAGCTGAGTAGTGCCACAACATGTAGCGTCCAATACCGTCAGCGAATATTGCCGCCGATGTCGAGGACACGAAATGCGGCTGGCAAGTGGAGACATAATATATGACCCACCCGTTCATAGTTGGGCTTCGGAAGGTATGACTCTTTCGGCGTGTGGGCGCTGCCTCTGAAGTGGCTTCTTGTGCCAACTGCCCCCTTCACGACACTCAACGATGCTGTGCTTCGGACCTTCAGCGTCAGCCTCAGAGTCAGCCGGCAAAGCTCGAAAACTCAGAGTCAGCCCTGAAACTGGACTGTCAGGGGTGTGATTGATTGAAGGCTTAATTTGAAGCTGCAGGAGGCGAATTGCCCAAGGTCTTTTCCTTTGAATATGCACCAAGCTGGTGGCAGCAAATATTGGACTCTCGTCGTGCGGCTGTTGCTTTGAATATGCCCTCGTACTCATAATCATCAGAATGATGAAAAAGCGAGTGATCTGCTTGCGTTCCATGAGGCAACGCCGAACTGCAAGGGACCAACGGCAATTGCTGGAGATGAGTCATCTTCTCTTCCTCTCACCGAACACGTGCAGATACTGGCCATCACACTCAGAATCAAAAGAGGACGCGCCGTAAAAGGGAAGGTTTACACGACTGTCACAGCTCAGATCAGTTTCACGAAGTGTGCTCTAGGGGCTCTTCACTGCCTGACACCCCACAGCATATGACCACCCACCCATCCCCCTGACCACGTCTTGTCAATACCACTCCAGCCATGCGGCAAAGCTGCATGCTGTTCGTTGCTGGTTCACTCACATCACCTGGTGTGCATGCCGCTGTGAGATAGATCTGGCAACGACGCCATCTAACACCTGTTTTGGTGTGTTGTTTGCCAGATCTATCTCAATTCCCCTTGGTCCAGAGGCGAGGCGCCTTCCTGAGTACAAGGCCTCCCTTCCCCATCCGTCCCTTGCGCTCTCGCTCACAGCTCCTGCGATCAGCCGCACCACCGCTGGTGGAGGAGGGACCGCCTGACAGCCGTGGAGTCCGTGCGGTGCCTGGGGACAAAGGCAAGGATACCGAGGCAAACCTTCCGCTGCTCGTCGACTTGCCAACTGAGCTCAGGTGATGCATGAGCACACCACAGCCTGCTTCGAGTCGCATATGGAGTACATCCCACTTAATCGTCCGTATGGGTGTGTCAGGATAAAGCTGTTGGATGAAGGCCGCACGGCTCCACGCCGTCAGCGACTCATCCGGGACGAAATCAAGCGGCAACAGAAGATGACTCCAGGCACTAAAGGGCCAGCATGGTACGGCACATGGCAACCTACCGCAAGCAAGTGACAGCGTGCGCCGTTTGCCGATGGCGCTGCCGCCTTGTTTGTTCCTCCCCTCAGGCAGCCGAGGAAGAGCATGATCAAGATACAGGAGCGGCTGGTGATCGAGCAGCTGGTACGCAGTCAGGCCAAGGACGGCGAGCGGCAGAAGTGGCGAAAGGTGAAGCGACTGGCGCCGCAAAAGAAATTGTTGCCAATCTCAATGTTCAGGGTGAGTGCGCCAGCCAGAAAGCAAAGCAGCAAGCTCAAAGGAGGGGGGACGTACACATGCAAGTGGCACATGGGGCTGAATGGACGTGTTTGTGCAGGTTGGTGAGAGGATTCGTGGTCGTGTGATTCAGCTAAAACAGCACGGCGCATGGATCGATATCGGGTGCACACAGAAGGCACTGCTGCACATACGGGTGAGGCGATAGATAGCGACTGCCCGCTTTCGTGTGCCCTGTGTGCCTTACTACCCCATCCTGTGTGCTGGTGTTTCAGGACATGGCGGAGGAGGGCGAGGGGTGGATCTCAAGCCCAACTGATAAACTTGTCCCAGGTCACACACTTGCGACCAATCTGACATGCCTTGGAGCCTTTCTCTGCCGCTTTCTCCGCAGGCCAAGAGCTCAATGTGACCGTCAAATATGCCGCACCATCACAGGTGGGCATCGACCCACTCATGTCCCCTTAGAAGGCAGGGGTGCTGTGCTTGCCCGTCGTCGCCTCTCTAACAGGGTGTGTTGGCCGTAACGCTCCGACCCAACGATGTCCAGAGGCTGCAAAGCCAGCCGGCAGTGGTGCCGGAACAGGCAGGGCCGGCAGAGCGCCGAAGACCAGTGGATTCCTTTCGCTTGGAGGAGAGGGTCGACGGAGTGGTGACGCGGGTGACTGAGAAGGGCTGCTTCGTCGACATTGGGGCTGATGTCGATGCATGGATGCATACGGTAAGGTATCATCCATCATGCGCAAAACCATACGGCACATGTCGTTGATTGATTGTCTGTTGCCGTTGTTAGATGGATGTGGAAGATCCCTATCGGGATCGTGGGCGCAACTTCAAGGCCACGTCGGATTTCTTCCACGTTGGCCAGCACTTTCAGGGGCTGTACATCAAAACAGTCGACAAAGTGCGAAATCGGTGAGTAAGCGAATCTTGAAGAGCCCTGGGCGGTGCTTCATGCTCCTTTTAGTCTCTGTCTGGCTCTCTTCCTGTAGGTTGCGTGTGACTCCTTGGTCATACCGAGAAGAGCTGGACCGTCGCGTGTGGCATGGATTCGAAACACTGGAGGAACAAGTACACAGTCATACCTAAAGGCACCGACTCTCTCTCCCATGTCACTGTGCGTATGTCCAGCACGAGTACGCCCCCGTTCCGGCCTATCAGCGCGAGGAGATTTTGCGGCGACAATCCTCAGAGCACCAACAAGAACCGATCATGACAAGACAAGCGACACTACCAGCAGCAGAAGAGTCGCATCAGATGTCCGAAACGGTGTCCCGCGATGAGGCGCCACAGCTCCCTTCTCACCCGACATCAGCACCTCTGTCGGCCCATGCTCCCGTCACTTCCACAGACCCCTTAACCTTGGATTACCAGGACCTCCTGCAAGTGGCGCAGCGGAAAATGACGGGCAAGGATGAGAAGGAGAAAGAAGAGACGGTCGGTGCAGCAGGTCTGCAGCCAAAGGCAGCTGTAGCTGCCTCTCAAGCAGACACGAAATCAGAGGTGCCACCCGTCACTCGCGCAGGAGACGTCAACCAGCGCCTCTCCACGTCTGATGCTGGCCGAGCTCCTGCTGGACGGAGGAGGACGTCTGAGGCTCTTTCGTCTATCGAGGAGAGCAGGATAGATGAGCTGACGAGTCGGATCGAGGGTCTGAATGAGGGCATGAGCATCACTCCTGAGATGCGGCGCAAGATCATGCAGGAGGAGCCACCGGAGCTGACAGAAGAGGACTTCAACTTTGACAGGGACAAGGCGCTCGACATCAGCCAGTGGGACGACGAAACCAGAGGTCACCCGAGATGAAATAAGCGGCATGCGCACCCACTCGCACGGCATGCTTGTTCGCATGTTCCTCCTTCTGTCATTCGTGCAGCGGCTGCCCGCGCCATCTTTTCGGAGGCTCCCGAGGATTGGGAGAGGATAGTCTACTCCAAGCCCGAGATGGATGTGCCGACGCTTGATAGCTTCGTCAACCCCGCCCTGCGCGACCCATCCAAGGTGAGGCTGCTGAGCTCGGAGGGGGAGGTGAGGCAATACCTCAAGGGCATCGAAAGAGAAGAGGACGCAACCGATGAAGAGATTGCCTACGAGGAGGACATGCCGCTCACCAAGGACCAGCAAGAATATGAAGACTACCTAACCAAGTACGCAGACAAACGATGCAAGACGCATTCATCCACTCATTGTGGGTATCGCCGTGTCAGGATCTTCGATGCCGAAGTGGCTCAGCAGGTCGCTGGCAGCAACGGGACTACCCTGAAGGATGATGGCTTTGTCGCACCAACCTTCAAGGGCCACCAACCGTCGTCACTGTCGTCCCAGACCATGCTATCCCCTCCCCCGTCTTTTGAAGACGACGACGTCCCGACTGCTCCGTCAGCTGGTGTGATCAACCTCTCTGCCATCCGAGCGAAGAAGAGGGCTCAACAGCAGATCAACAGAGAGAAAGAGATGGCGTTTGAGGAGCACGAGCAGATGCGGGAGGAGAGCATGACGGCTGCTGCTGATGCACAGCAAGTGTTCTCTTCCGCGAGCGATTACTCACTGCCAGCTGACTGGACGGTTGCAGACGTCTTGGATGCAGATCAGCGTTTTCGAGGGCGCACGTTCGATCAAGATGTAAGTAGACACGACACGGACACGTAGGGCAGGTTGTACGCACCTCACCCTGCTGTTCGGTGTTCTTTCCAGCTGGATGACTTTGGGTACGCCAAGTTGGTCGAAGAGCTCAACGACGAAGACCCAGAGATGCTCAAGTGAGACGGACGGTTGCAGGCTGAAGACGCATTCTAGTGCGATGCTGGTTTCGTGCATTGCTTGTGTGTACAGGGATCCTGCAGTGCAGACTATTCTCAAGAGCCTGAGAGAGTACGAAGCAAATCCAGAGGAATGGTAAGAGATTTACCTTGCGGGAGCAAGTGACCGCAATGGCTCATGCCCCTGTTCTGCTGCATAAATCAGGTATCGCAACAACAAGGAAGGAGACGAGCCATCAGCAGAGGCGCTTCTGCTCCGTGACTTACGAAGGGCGTCAATCGCCAGCGGTGAAGTCGTGCGAGTCAATGCGCCGAAGACAGGAATTCTGGACGCCGCACCCACTGCCCGCGACTATGATGCAGACGAGGCGGGTTTTCTGCCCCTTGACAATGCGTTCTCGTCGCTGCTCGCCAACACACTCGGACGAGGCGATGTGGAGGAGCCTCCCCCTCTCTCAGAGAGAGAGAAACTTCGCCAGCTCTTTTCTTCCCCCGCATTCGCCCAGAGGCTGAAGAGGTTAGGTCTGAGTCTTCAAGCTGAGGACATTGACATAGACAGGTTGGCGGAGTTCCGTCGGAAGGTTGTGGAGGACGCATTGGTTTTGAGTCGTCAGAATCCAAAACTGCGTTTTCGAGAAGACGGTAGCTAAGTGTAGCTAAGTTGGCCGTGTGTTGAACAGTGCGCGTGTGCTAAGTTGACCGTGTGTCCGACCTCTTTGTACGATCAACGCATTAATCTGCATCCACGCCATCTACTCAGTCAAATCCATCCATCCATCCATCCACCCCTTCTCTCTCACACTTTTCTCTCTCCTTCTTTTCGCGGTTCCACTCTGGTGACTCATCCCTTTGTCTTGGTACTCAGCCACCTGTGTGTCCACTCTGGCTTGTTCAGCTCGCGCCTCATCCCAACCACCAGCGATGAAAAGGTCTACCGGGGTGTCCCGACAAAAAAAAAACGCAATTCGCCGTTTAGTATTGTGACACACGTAAGTATTGTCGTGAGGTATATCCATTTCTGACCGATTGTCTGTTCAACGGCGAGCCTGTACAAAGGGATACTGCACTGCTTCAGCATCTTCCCGCTACACCCCAGGATAGTGGCTGGCGGCAATGTCCGGCGCAGCTGTGCGAGATCACCTAAACCCATATCAGTCATGACAAACACGCCCTTGGGTCTCAGTTCCAGCCATGCTGTGATCCCCTTGAGGATGTCCGGGATTGAGCCGGCCTTTCTTCAAGTTCGCAATTCATGCGCACACACAGACACACACAGAGCAGATAAACACAGCGGAAGCACGGCGACTTTCTTTATGCTCTGTTTACATGTCTCCGTGCCAAATATGAAAGCAGGCGATTGAATTACCAGGAGTCACGGTCAGCTTGTCGAGCAGCTGGCGTGGGGCCTTGTCGACCTCATGCCTGAAGTGCACAACTTTTCGCGGGCAAGCGGGACGAGGGCCAAAGAAAGCCAGTAAGCCCCTAAATGCGACGAGTGGACAGAATCAGTGCGAACAGTCACATCTATGTCATGTCTCACCTGGCGGCAACAATTGAGAAGTTGTTTTCCCTCATCAACCGTTCGATTCCGTCGCGAGACTCAATTGTACGTAGGGATCCCGGCTGCGTCCAACGGATAGTCTCATCCATGCCTCGCTCTGTCCAGTCAGTAGGCACTGGAACGCGTCCGTGTGTCTCAGAACTTTATGTGGGCTGCTCATTGCCAAGCCGCTCGTGAACAAGCCGGCGTGGTACCATGGCCTCACCAGGCAGTCCGCTGACCACCGGGCTGGGTCTCGCCATTGTGCACCCATGGACGAGAGGCGACCAGAGAAGAACAGTGCTAGCTGGGGATCCGCAGCCGCATGATCCTCAAAACAACAACTTGACAACGAGAACAACGATCCCCAGTATTCAGTGCTTCTGCACTGAATTTTTGGGTTGACCTGCATCCACTGCTCGTTCAACGCCCAGCTGACGCCCATGCCTGGGCTACCCATTGGGCAAATGAGAAGAGCGCGGCGCGAAATCTGACAATAGGCAGCGAGCGACTGTTACACACTTGGTACCTGTGCAATGTCAAGGTTGTTTGTGCGATTGGTATACCTTCCTCGTGGGCTGTACGCCATCGCGTGGGTCGTGTCAAGCAGCGGCTTGGATTTGTTTGTTCGGCGCTTGTCGGACAGAGCCTTCTCCGGCGACACGGCTGTCTGCGTCGACAGCCAAAAGATGCAGATGACAGCCCAGATAGAGAAAGCAAGACGGGACATGCCACTTGTTCCTCAATTTTCTGTCTCGGATCACATCGCCACCAGACTAGCGGACAGTCGCGGACCCATGGTCGCGGACGTAGGAATCAGACGCCCCATTTACCGCAGCACTTGAAGGCATCTGGCTTTATGGAACGTGTACAAAGCAACCAGCCCTCCGCTCCAGGCCCCCTCTGTGGTGTTTTGTTTTTTGTTTACATTTTTGTTTCTGTGTGTGCGTTTTCTCTTTCTCTCTTCCTTCTTTTCTTCTTTTCTTTTCTTTCCGGTCTGGTGCGATTTTTCTGTCTGGTGTCCTCCCGGTCCTCGCTTGCGTGTCTTTCTTGACGATTCAAGACAGTGCTTATCTGCTCACTGAACGTCCGCGCTTTGGGCTTCGGTGCGCCCCGCGTCAGTCGTCTTTTCCAGGTTGGCGAAAAAGACACTCGGCTCGAGGCCCATGCAAAAGCGGTTCAGCTTGTCCCGTCTTCTTCTTGACGTCGATTGTTCGTCAAAGTCGGCACTGCGGAGCTGTCGGTCGTTACCACAGCCTGTTTGGGGGTCCTTAGCTATCGCCGCACACGTCCCCATCATCGTGTGTCTGCAGCTCACAGACATACACTGCGACCCGTGGGGTTCTTTATTTTTTGTTTGCGAATTTTAAAAGGAGACGCTTCCGCTGTTTTCTTGTCCCAGGAAGTGAGCGCTGGTACGCCATAAATTGTCAATGTGCGTCTCCGTTAACTGTGGCAAATTCAATCGGTGGCTCGTCCCGTCTTGGTCACTTTCCTCTTCTTCGACAAGACGCGCCACGTGGAGGCCGTGGTAAGTCTCCTGCTGGTCGCCTTCTTGCTCTTGCTCATCCTCCGCGACATCGGTAATGTCGGCATTCTCATTGAAGTAATCGCCCACGTCTAGCTTCGACCGCAAGGGAGGCCACAAGGTACAGTCTGGCCGATAGTACGAGAGCCATAAGCACACATCATGCGCACGCAATCTCCACGGCTTCTGCCGACCGCTATAATGTAAGATGCGAGTCTTGGCTAGCCGGCCCATGGTGAAGCTGCGCTGGGCACACCACAGAGAGTTCCATGTCTCATCGAGCGCCGCGAAGCCCCATTTATGAGCCAGAATCGAGAATGGCAGAGAGAATGCTTCTTCGAGATATATTCCTTTCCCCTGCGTCGCATGATGGCCCCGTAGATGGTGTATAATGCTTTCAGCGGCAAAAATCAAATTCAGCGCTCGCCAAGCTGACAAGTTAGCAACAAATACCTGCAGACAAAGGTATATTATCATTGCCATTCGCATATAAGCATCGTATCATCATTCACGGAGACCCCAGGATTGAGAAGACGCGATGCCGATGGATCAATCCTCAGCTGCCGACAGATACGTTCTCCTCTCGTATGAAACGCATCCTTCAGCAGTGGCGAATCCGACTGGATAGGCACAGCAAGCGCATTTTGGCCGGCTCTTGCGAGTCGAAATGCCCCGCCTCCTCCCAGCCTTATCTGCTGCGGTCGTCCAAGTGCAGCGAGCCCTTCATCGTAGAGCTGTCCAATATCGGCTCCGGCCAGTATATCCGTGTCAAGCCACAACACAACTGAGCAGGATGGCAGGAGCTCAGGCAAATACAATCGCAAGAAGTTCATATGTGTTTGAGGAAGCCGTCCATGAGCGATGCGGATCAATGAGGAGGGAAGCAGGGAATGCTCGCCTTCACCAGGGTCACGGAGCTCAATCTCATGGAAAGTGACAGATGGCTGGCTCCCCGGGTGAGTGAGTCCGGCTGTGTAGCATCTGTATGCGCTTGCGACGGACGCAGATAGAGACGCGGGGATGAACAAATGAAAATGCAGGTCTTCAGGCGTTTGTGAATGGTAAACAACGGACGCAAGCGTCACCAGGATCCCAGCCAGATGGTCATGCGTAGCTGTCACAAACAATAATAATACTCCCGTGCAATTTTTCAATCACTGTCTCACCTGCCATGGCAATTTGTACAGTGCCAGCCATTCGGGGCAGGAGCGATTCAAGTCTTGCTCACGTGTGAGGCAAGTTTACAGCATGGGTAAACTTCGCTTGCTTCTTTGCAACAACGCGTGTGTGGCCCCCCGCGCATCGTTACACATCAATCATCTGTAGTCTGTACAGCGTAGTGTTGCACATGAAAACGTCAGTGTCAGCACTGGTCGTTCTCACTGGCGTCGCCTCATTCCTTTTCTGGTTACGGACATCAGAAAAAGGTACGAAAGGATCTCCTGCTCAGCGCCTACTGTGGCTGCTGTGTGTGCTTTTCTCTGCTTGTCTCCGGCCAGTCACCTTATCACGAACCTCGTTCCCAAGGCGATACCTCATCGACGACTACTGACCGTTGCGGTCGGGAGGTGAGAAGAGACAGGGACGAAAAAGACGGTTTCATATAGGAGAGAGATGCTCACACAATTACTGCAGGGCAGGGTCGTGCCCTGAGAAGTGCCTGTTCATCCATCGTTATCTCCCGGAGTGGGTCAGGTAACAAGAGACAGGCTGCGAGTCGATATCCAAGGGTCTTTCGTTCAGATATCGGATTGTCGAATACGGTGACATCAGCGAATTGGAGAGTCAGCTCCAGCATGACAGTACGGATGTCATCATCGTCGCAAGGAACACCTCTGACCTCTCCATCTCACGCCTTGGGGAGTGCGCTCAACGACGCAAAGAGAAAGGCTCGTCGGTTGGTCTCTACCACATGGCAGACATCGGCAACAGCGGCTTCGGGCGGGACTACGGCGAATTTGATTATGTGATACGGATGCACTACTTTTCTAGGCTGCGTCGTGCCGCTACAGGACTGTTTCTGTATTCCCTGTCGAATCTGACCTGCTCACGATCAAATGGACCTGATGGATGGCCGCCAGTATTGAAAGGTGACAAGGACGACCGTTTCATCCCTAGACTGTCCACTGGCAGCTTCTGCCGCCTGGCTTTCCGGCCGACATGTACGACAGAGAAGGCTATTCAGCTTGGCCTGCTTCCATGCGGAAATACGACTGCACATTCGTCGGCTGGCCAAGGACACACGGTAGCAGAATACTCTTGTCCGCGCTAAAGAAGCACCCTTTCGGCAGGCGGCTCAAGTGTCATTTATCTGTGCAGAGAAAGTTTAGACGAGAAATCGGGCCCTATTCTTACCAAGTTCACTACTTGTCCACAAGCAAGATCGGTTTCTGCCCAAGGGGAACAGGTCCTGAAACAATGCGTTTTGCTGAGGTCCTCGGCGCCGGAACAGTTCCTGCCATGCTGCCCTCGAACTTTCATTCGGTGACTTTTTCTCGATTTCCCGGCGTCATCGCAAGCTCGTGGCCGAAAGTGTTTGCGAAGATTGGCGAGCTCCTCAAGGATCCAGAGAGGCTAGACGAGGTCCAAGAGGAATGTGTGAAGTGGTACAGGAGACTGCGCGAGTGCGAAAGGGCCGGAATAGATGTGCTCCTGAGACACGCTTTGACGGACAAATGAAAGGACGAGAGACAAAGCACTTCTCTCCTCCTCTGAGTCCTCCCCGACGAGACGACATACAGCACAGAAAGGAGGCAAGGGCATTGCGGTGATCAGATGAGGCATGGTTGTCTGTTGGTCACCTTCGTGAGGGACCTGCCGTGTTTGTCTTCTTCACAACTCCTGCTGGTGGTCAGGGGGACTGCTGTGAAACGGATCTACACCGTGACGGAGTAGCATTGGACAACCATGGGCGACCAGAACATCTGATCTAGACACGAGAGCTGAAGATGACGACGTGCTTCCCTCCTCTCGGGATTCTCCTCCTCCTCATGCTTCTGTTGGTTCAGATCTTTCATCCTGCTTTCATCGTTGCCGCATCCGAACCAGACGTACACGAGGATTTGATTGGCTGCGAGGGACATATCATCGGAGAGGTGTGAAGAATGAAGGTGGCATGTACGCCACGCTTCCTGCCCGTGTTTCTGTGTCAGGACGGCCTCATCGTCACTGAGGCCATGTACCCCACTCATTCAACTGGCGAGGAAGACGGTGATCAATCTCCTGAAATGAAGATGGACCTGTCAGTTGTCAAAGTGTCCCTCTATACCGAGGAAGGCATTCTTAAGGAGTCCCAATATTGCACTCCCAACGGGTAGTTTATCGAGAGAATTTGCATAAACCGTAACACTCGCGTGTGTGTCTGTCACTATGCGCCCAGGTATTACTTCTTACCGATCCCGGATGCGCCGAGGTCGGCGAGCCACAGACGCGCATATCTCATCCGAATCGAGGGGCCTGCAGGATGGACCTTTCAGCCCAGCGAAGTGCGGGTGGAGAGCCTAAGCGACTGCAAGAAGGATATCAACTTCGTCTTCGCGGGCTTCACTTTACGCGGACAGGTGCTTGCGGCTGACGACACAGGAATGAAGAGGGGACCCCCTGGTGTCATGGTGACGCTGGTGCGTGGACGAGCAGGAGGAACGAGTGAGGCGTTACTGGCAACAACAGTCACCCAAGAGGATGGCTATTACGAGTTTGCGAATGTGTTCCCTGGTTGGGTGACGCTGCGGGCTTCACATCCGCATTGGCGCTTCAGCCGCGATGAGATGGAAGTACAAGTGCATTGGCGGCATGTCAACTTGACATCAGCGCGTGAGGGTGATCAGCTGATGGTGGCGGGCTTCGATGTGGAGGGTCGAGTTGTCACGGGTAAGTCAGGGGAGGAAAAAGGACAGAAGGTCTGAAACCTGGTGCCTTCTTCTTGTTTTCGGTCAGCCAACGACGACGAGCCCGTCTCTGGCTTAGCCGTCCTTATTCGATCCTCCAGCTCTGCTGTGTCCCCTTTCTACAACTGTCTGCCCTCAGCCACGCAACCAACTGAAGAGGTTGCCGAAGCCATCAGGGACGCATTCGGCATGGACGCATCGCAAGAAAACGCTCTCGAGGACATCGCAAAGCTGGAGGCGGGCAATGCCTGTGTGACGCTGTCTCTCGGAGACGGTTCATTTCGTTTTCCTCAAGTTCCAATCGGAGATTATATTGTGAAGGTCATGGGGCGCCCTGTGGACGTTCTGCTTGGCTCGAACAAGGGTGCATCCTTACCCCGCGCACTCGAGATCTCGCCGAGAGATATGCCTGTGAGGGTCGAGCCCAAGAGCAACCAATTACTGGATACGTTCCAGGTGACGTCACGCTGCTGATCAGGAGCAGAAGGTGTGCACGTGTGCCTCCCTTTCTACCGCAGGTCGTTGGCTTCAGTGTTGAAGGCCGTGTTGTACACGCTCTTCCAAGCAAAGGCACCGGTAGGAAAGAGAAACAGCGACCGAAGCCCCGTGTGAATGTGCGTCCGTCTGCTGTCATTTCAGAGGACAGCATTGGGGTTGAGGGCGTGTCCATCATCCTTGACGGCCAGCCTGCTGGCGTGTCGAGGGATGATGGATATTTCACCCTGCCTCGAGTCAGCCCTGGCAGCTACACAGTCGAGCCGATTCACGAGCACCTGTACTTTGATCCAACACAGGTGACTCCCATTGGATTCGCAAACCAGTGGCGCTGCATGATCGCGTCATGTGTGCATTTCCGTGCATGTGCAGGTCCGTTTATCTCTTCACGAGACGGAGCTACCGTGGATCCCTGTCTCGTCCTATGACCTCTGTGGACATGTGGGCATCGAACAAGACCCCCAAACTGCACCAAGCGGGAAAGGTGCGCGTGACGAATGAATGGGTACATTAAGCTGGTTCCTTGTGTACGCGCAGGCAGGGGAATGGTTCTGCGGTCCCGGCAGGATGGAGGAGAAAGGAGGACAACAACGAAGCCAGATGTACGCAAAGTCTTAGAACACTTTCACATGCACAACAGGCGGCGTGTACCGTATTTCTGTGGCCCTGTGTACAGGGGGGATTCTGCTTCGAGGTGCCCGCTGGCTCCTACGAAGTGTATCCGATCATCTCCGAGGAGGAGACGAAGAGGGGACTTGTGCTCACGCCAAAGACAAGGGTGGTCCATGTCACAACGGCTCCGCTTCTCACAGTGGACTTCCGGCAGAGCAAGGTGGCTGTGCAGGGCACCATCCTACCTCTGGGTGAGAGATAAAACTAGACGACAGAAAACGCATTTGTTACCTGCGCTTGCTTGCAGGCAGCGCACCGAGTGTCGAGTTGAAGCTGACGCACCGAGCTGATGCCTCTGTGTCCACAGCAACGGCAACACGTGACGGTACTCATCCGTGGCAGTCGAGATGCGTCTACGCAGATGCTATTGCCACATCCCTTTCGCTCTGGACATTTCAGGCATGCCAAAAGGCTCGACAGCGCTGGCTTTCCGCTTCCCCGACGTGCTTCCCGGGTCGTACGATCTCAGTGTGCAAGAGCACAACTGGTGCTGGGCACAGGATACATATCAGGTGAAGGCATGAGGCGTGCGCTCAACCTTTGCGATCAACATATCTCCTGTCCTGTGCGTCGTCAGCTTGACGTCGGCGAAGACGACGTGACATCCCCCCCGTTCCAACAGACGGGCTACCTCATATATGGCACCGCATCGCATCCCTTCACCTTCACCCTCACGAGTCAAGAACAAAGCGGCAACGCATCAGCTCCTCTATCGCTCATCGACTCGCAGGGACTCCAGACCAAGCCGCTATCGCACTCGTCCCTCATGGTGTCATTCGCCGGTGTGCCTTTCCGGTTCTGTTTGCCCGTGATCGGCAAGTACGTGCTGGAGCCGACGAGCGACTCGCTGACGGGGTATCAATTCACCCATGCTGCGTATCCGCTCGACACTGACAAGCTCGGAGACCCTCTCATACTGCAGGTGGGTAGGAGCGGGAGAGGATGAAAGGCCGGACTCACAGTTGCACTGTGGTGATGCAGGTGACTCATACGAAAGTGTGGGGCTCGATCAGCATCACCTCTGACAAATCGAGAGGCCTTCCATCTGAGGTTCAAATCGCAGTAGAGGATGACAAAGGCAATGTTATTGATCATATTGCAGCCCGTGCGAGCCGAGCAGACGACCAGCCATCCACTTACAGCTTTGAGTACCTGACTCCCTCTTTGGGCGACGGCATCGTTTCAGCTCTCTTGCGCCCTCTCGCTCCTTCGTCGTTCCCTTCGTTGCTGTTCTATCCGTCGACTGTCCCGCTGGTTCAGGAGGGAGGTGCAGCGGCCAAGGGCGGGCTTGTCATTCGTGCAAAGCCCGGCAAGAATATCAGAGGACGCATTGAGCCACCCGTGGAAGGTATTATGCATGCGGCGACAAACAGATGCAGCATTCTTCGCACATCCATCTGTTGCTGTCTGAATGCAGGTGTGCGTATTGAGGTGCGGCAGGTGTCTGATGGGTCCACCAAAGGTGACGTGACCGTGTACAAGACGGATAGCACCGGCAAGTATGAGACAGGGCCCGTCTACGATGACAGCGACGCGGACAGGAAGGAGAGGGGACGGGTGCGCTATGAGATCGTGCCCTCACTTGATGGGTACTTCTTCGAACCTCTGCCGAACAGCCCACATGACTTCAAAGCAAGCAGGTATGACACATCAGACGCAGGCAAAGTAGCGATCCAGAAAGGCTGCATCTGTTTTTCGTCTCATGTCCAGGTATTCCAGCATCGAGGTGACAGTCATGCATCACTACAGCGAGCCCCCCTCCTCCGAACCACTGCCTGGTGTCCTAGTCTCACTCTCATCCTCAACACATCCAAACTTCAGGGCGAAGAAACTGACACGTACACGTGCAAGCATTCGTCGCTGGTCTTCGCAGCACAGGCCTTGTGTGTGTTATCAGGTCCTGATGGTACACTGGTCTTCGGTCAGCTGATACCCGGGGTGTACTACCTCCGTCCGCTGCTGAAAGAGTACGAATTTGATCCGCCCCAAGTGAGCTTGACTTTGTCACAAGGAGAGCAGCAGCAGCTGCAGCTTAAGGCGACCAGAGTCGCGTACTCATGTGCTGGTACGAGAATGCACAGACAGTCAGAAACAGTCTGTCAAACACGTGGGGTGTGGCTTTCAGGGAAGCTGAAGACACTTGCTGGTTCATCTGAGGGGCTGGGGGCCCTGGTGGTGCAGGTCAGCGCTGCGCCAGTCCCTCGATCCAACAAAACTGCATCAAGTAGCGTTGTTTTGTCGTGTGTATTGCAGGCCCATTCATCCGGCGGTCAAGTGGAGGAGTGTGAAGTGTCGGCGACGGGTGACTACATCCTGCGCGGTCTTCAGCCCCACAACACGTACTCACTCACCGTCAAGTCGAACAGGCCGTCGACAGAGGAGGGCGCGGCAGCCAATGTATCCTCTGTGAGGTACGAAAGGGCGTCCCCGGTTAGGCGGGAGGTGGCGCTGGAGCGTCGGGATGCGCACAGCATCGACTTCTATATCTTTCCTGCGAGCACATTGATTGTCGTCTCGGGTGAGGAGAACAGCGGAGAGAAAAGATAGAGTGGAGTGTAAGCTTTGTCGACGTAGTGCTTGTCAATGGAAATGCAGGTGATGTCATTGATTTTGTCATGACACCCAGCGGCCACCCTTCTGTCCCCTCTCAGCTGTCGGCAAAGAGCAAGATGCCTATCAGGACTGGGACCTCAACGCTGACGGAAGCTGAGGTCATTTTATCGAGGGTAGACAAGGGGGAGGAGGACACGGAGACAGTTGAAGGTGCGTATACCAGGATGGGAGGGTGCATGAAAGGGTCCTCACAACGTCCCTGTGTGATTGCCCAGAGTTGGCTCGCCGGTCGATGTCTGCTCTCGGCTACTTCGAGTTTCCCGGGGTGGAGCCAGGCGTGTACAACGTCACCTTGCTCACACAAACGAATAACAAAGCACAAGTAAATAACTACAGAAGAACCATGTGCGCATCAGTATGCATGGTTTCATTTCAGGTGGTGTTCCAGAAGAGGCTCAACCTGACATCTGCCCAGACAGCGCAGATCACTAACCTCTCCCCTTCTGCAATGGACGTCAACCAGTCGGCACCTCTTGTCCTTCCTGGACTCCTGATCTCATCTGGCAGCACTGCGAGAGAAAACGCCGCGTCCATGAGCGCGATAGCGAGCGCGGAAGAGGCTATCGCGGTTGCTAGCGACAGCGAGTGCCTCTTGAGAGTGACGAGAGATTCTCGGTATCATCTCCACATCTTTTCATCATCCCTCCCGGCCTTCCCTCCGGCTTCCCACAAAGGCGCGACTTCGCCACTGATGGTCATTGTGGTGGTCGTCGCGCTCGTTGTAGGCCTTATCAGGCAGTCAGGCGTCACCTTGCAGCATCCATCAATCAAAAGATTGCAGGAGGGCATTTCGACGAGGTTTCCAGCCACCTGGCTGAGAATCAAGAGCATTGTGGAGAGTGGTACTCTTGTGATGTCGCGAAGTAGAGAACACTGCTAGGGATAAGGCAGAGAAAACGAAGTAGACATGCACTCCGGAGCATGTCTCATTGGTTTGTATACGTGTGTGCATGCACTGGCGAAGGCGTGAGTCTATAAGTCATGTGTCTTTGACATGTAGCAACCAGGCGCTGTGTCATCGAGCGTGAACAATACGGTCACATTCAAAAAACCACTCTCTCCTCCCGCGTCTATCTCATCTTCACTCGCAAACCACATTCCTTGACATAGAAGTGTCTGTCTCTTGACGTGTGGTCTGTGTCCCTTTTCAAATTCTCTCCCCTTGTCCCCTCCCGGGTTTGAAAAAAAGAAATAAATACACACACACATCCGAGGTGTCTTGCACTCAAGACAGAAGCACACAAGACAGAAGCAACATTGAGCACTCGACACCGAGTGTCGCGGATACATGTAAAATGCACGAGAAATGTGCTGTGTTACGGAAAGAGGTGGCTGTCTTTACGCGCATGTGGGGTGGAAGGGTCAAGGGAAGGGTGGGTGTAATGCATGACCAATCCATGACAGTTATGACCGCAACCAAAAAATCCCTGCTGAAAAACCAAATAGGCTATAGCCGGTGTTGTATCTCTGCAACACATCATTTCCCAACCGAACAAAAAAAGGGATTAGTAACTTACGTTAAACGGAATAACAACTTTGATCTCCCCAAAAGGAAGAACCTCGCGCTCGGGTTTTTTTGATGTACATGGTAACCTACAGCCAGAGGAGCTCCGCGCAATTATATTCGCGGAGGAGCACCTGTGCGTTCGGGTTGGTATGAAACGAAACAGAAAAAGCACGCCGACGATGAAGAAAGACATTACACACTCGAGATTGGGGGAAGCTGGTGGCCTCGCGCGTGCGATCGCTTGAACTTCACAACGGCCGCCGAAGGCGGCCGTGCAAGCGATCTTGTCAATGATTGATTCGGGCGTAGATCAGCGATGTCCCGGCTCAGGCGATGAGTCATCTAATTTGCGTCTTGCCTCTCCGCCACGGTCTTCCCCTCCGCCTTCCACCCTCTTTCCTCTCCTGGTGGTTCTTTGTATGACAACTGAGGCATCTGCCGCCTTCGTGTGGCAACCACCGCTGGTGAGATCTTCCGGCGTTTCAAGACGATTGGAAGTGTACCCAAGGACAAGCAGCCTGTCAGCGCTCCCTGTGTCACTGAGCAATCTTCACATCCAGCGCGGTGCACTGGAGGCGTCGAGCAAGGTATAACTGATGGGTTTGAATACCAACGGGCCTATGCATTGCCTCTTCAGGCGGTACTCGAGTTGCTCGCTCTCATCGGCATTGGCGCAGCCAAGAGGGATGATCTGGACCAAGCGGCCCGATCCGTCCTCTCCAAGCTCGTTCGCAATGTCAATAATTGAGTCTGGCACTAATTCACGAAAAGGAGGCCAGGGAATCTGTTGTCGCAATGCAATGTATTCCAGGTGTTCCAGCCTGCCTTCCTGTGCACGTCCATCGCGGCCACCCTCGCGTCCCCTGCGGCGAGAGTCCGAGACCTCCTCCCACTCCCGTTCTTCTGCGCCTCGCAGATAATTCTGGTAGGTCTGTCCAAACACAGACATACATACATGTGCATGCATTGGTGCGGTCAGGGCTCATTCGTGGGCGAAGCTCTCCTGCGCATACTGAGGATATCTCCGAAGGTTGGCGCGTCTGGTCAGTGTTTGCATGGACATTCAGCTGTTCTGTCCCATGCAAATGCTCAGTCTCAAAGTGGCCGTCGCTTGAAGATGCTGTGCTCGTTCTCCAATGCTGGACGTGAGATGAAACATGAGCAGGCACAGAACACTAACATCGCTGTGCCTTTTCTGTTCGTCTGTTGGCGTCCCATGTACTCTGTGTAAAGCGCTCCCAATACTGTTCACGTGAGGCGAGCACGGTAGCTACAGGACACCAACACCGCTGCACTTTTTCTGTTTTGGCATCGACAGGAATGCGCTGTTCCGTGACCACCCCGATCCCAGTGTCATGGCGAAGGTCAACAGCTATATCGCGTTCTACCTGACTGTACAGGCGCCCATGATGTGGTCGTACGGCTACTCCATCCTCGCAGGAATGCCCACTCGACCTGTCAAGCACCATGTATGGAGCGCTACACTGGGCACGGTGCATGACACTTCACATGTCACTATGCTGGTTGGTTTGGTCTGCAGGTTGACGAAGATGACCCGCAATGGGCAGACGCATTTGCCGATTGGGGCATGTCACCATCTCTAGAACAGGTTCCTCCCCCTCCCCGTCCTGCGCCGCCACCCTTTCCCCGATCCCTCTTTCTACAAGTGCGACGGACGGTCAAGCAGCTTTGGCTTCACCCTTTTCGGCCCCGGCTCCTCTCCCCAGCTGTCATATCGTGCCTTGCGGGCATTGTCATTGGCACCTCGCCCCTGCTGCGACAGATGCTAGTGGCTCCAGGCGCGCCCCTGACGTTCATATGGGGCGCCCTTCAGATCCTTGGCCAGGTCAGCCGCTCTGTCTTCTCTCTGTATCTGTCGCTCTATGTTTCTCACTGAGTCTCTCTGTGTTTCTCACTGTTTCTCACCTGGCCAGGGGTTCAGGTGAGACGCTCTCTCACTGATTCCACGCACACCTGTATCCGCTTTCACTGATGGCGCCGTATGTTGTTCAGACCCGCAGCGGCCCTTGTGCTGGCAGGAAGCTTCGTCACGCGTATGAGGGGAGAAGGGGAGAAGAAATGCCCGACATGCATTGGCGCACTCCCGACCTCTCTGTGTGCCCTTACCCCCTTTGTCGCAGCGAGTGGAGGAGAGTCTGACACTGTCATTTCACTGAGAAACTTCAGGAGGGTGCTTCCCGTTGCCTTTGCCCGGTTCGTCTGTGCTCCCACTATAGCATTTACCTTACTCACGATCGGAAGGTGGGATTGACATGGCCATCTTTCCAGTCAATTGCAGTGTCTTGACCTGTGTGTGTCCCCAGGCGGTTGGGTCTGATAATGAACGACCCATTCTTGTGGTTCGTGTTGCTGATGCAGGGGTGCATGCCCGCCGCGCAGCAGTCCGTCGTGATATTGCAGCTCGAGAATCAGCCGCAGGCTGCGACGGTCATGGCTAAGACTCTTACTCTGCTGTATTCTTTGGGTGTGATTCCCGTAGCCCTCCTTATTAGCTTGGTGCGTGGATACACGGGTGTTTGAGGAGAGCGTAGAAAGTTAGGTTGTAGAGTCTGACACAGAGTTCGAGTGGGTCAGCAGACTTCGACACTCTGACTTCGCCATGCCCGCGGGCGTCTGGAGAGGCGCCAGCTTGCAGCTCCTCGTCCATGGCAGTCAGGGCACGATTTTGCTATCTACGATGAGGGTGGGTAGGTCAGCGCTCGTAGATTCAACAGTACCAGCACACAGATCAGCGCCCCGTGGTCCTCACACACCACACGCTCACACACATTCTCTCATCTCCGTGAAACAAATTGAGTGAGGCGGTCACAGGTCTGCCAGCCAGCAGTGCACTCGAGCCTTACATACACGACCAGCCAGCATGCACTCGAGCCTTACATACACGAAACTTAGCACGAATCTCATGCACGAACTTGATGAATGAATGAATGAACCATGCACGCACTGGTTTACGATAGCCCTAAAACAGGGTCCCAACACTTTGCAAAATGACTGATGAAAGCAGTGTCCCTCAGAGATTTGGTGTTGCACATGAAAACGTCAGTGTCAGCAACAGTCGTTTTCACTGTCATTGCCTCATTCCTTCTCTGGTTGCTGATACGGACATCAGAAAAAGGTATTTTCACACAACTCTGAATCCTGCATGGACTTGCAATGAATCAGGGGGACCCAACGACGAGGCCAAGACGACAATGGAAACACCGGCTGATCCGGCCCAAGATACCACACAAAATGCAATACAAACATCGCCCAAGTGTCCCACACATGCACTGATGCACAACAAGACTCAATCCCCTCCCTTTCTTCCCAGGCCGACAAGCCTCACGGTCGTGACGATTTACTTTCAGCTTCCAGGTGACTTCCAATACTGTTATGGTCATGTGTAGTATATCTGAGCGTGACAGAGTCAAAACACACAGTTGAAGAGTACTATAAATGAATGGAGCTCCTCCTGGCCGTCGAGCATCCCATGGTACAGCACTTCTCATGAATGCATACCGTGCTTCCATCACCAACAACTAATTGGGCCTTTCGACTCCCTCAGGTGATCTTTTGTGGGAAGTCATCGTACGAGGCCATCGAAAGGGCTCGGCGGCCCCTTCTTGGACGGACGAGAATCCATGTGGTGGAATATGACGAGTTTCTCGTGGCCAAGCACCGGGAAGCCTTCGAGAAACAAAGGAAACTCCTCATGTGAGAAAACACCTGTCTCTTCTGTCTTTTGTCTGCCTCTCACTGTCTCTCTTCTCTTCGTACGTCTCACAACATGCCTCTTACCTATGTCATTCATACTGTGCGTCTCCGAAGGAAAAACGCCTTCCATGGCAAGAAGAGGATTCCATTTCGAAAAAACTACTCCGCCAGGCTATTCATGATCTGGTGACTAGTCTTTCTTTTATCTAGATGGTAACGTAACTGCGTCTCTCTTTCATATGCCTTCAGGAACGAGAAGATCAATTTCTTACATCGGGCAGCGTCCGAGAATCCGTTCAACACGAAGTTGTTTCTCTTCGCTGACATAGCTCTTTTGAGGTTCGTCTGTGCGGAAAAGAAGCAGAGACATGCCATGTTTCTTTCGGATGCATGTTTCCCCACATTGCTGGCCCGATAGGAAGCTGTCAGCAGAGGAGATGGCAAGTGGACGTTTCAAGAAGTGGCCAAATGCACAGAAGCTGGCAGAGGCGCCTCACGATAAGATGTTGCTCTTCCGAGTTGACCCGTTCAAGAAGAAATGGTCCCGGTGCAGAAGGCAGCGCTGCCTACCTTATTTTCGACCCTATTATAACAAGATCATCGCAGGCTCGATGGGCGGAACTCAAGATGCCATCCAACGGTTTCACACAGAATACTACGCGATGCTCGCCTACTTCCTGCAGACCAAGCGGTGGGCTGGCCAGGAGCAGCAGATCATTGACGCTGTCTGCCTGATTAATAGCGATATGTGCTACATTGTCGTGGCACCTCGAGGGAGATCTCAAGGAAGGAGCAGCTTCTTCCATTCTCTTGACTATTTTATGCCTCCATGAATAGATTTGTACGATAAACGCATTAATGCACAGACCAGTCTCTTCATAGCGAGCGTCTGTACAATCTATCAACATTGGCTCCTCACTCACTCTCTCACTCACTCACTCACTCCTCCTCCTCTTCCTCCTCGCTATCATCTACGGCCATCTCATCGGGCTGCTCTCAATCTGCCCCCTTGCCGACATGCAGGTAGTGCAGCCTCTCCATCTCCCGCCTGGGAGCGATGGCCATCTGCTTGGCCTCCTCGAAGCCGTACTTGTTGCAGGAGAAGGACTTGGTCTTCGTCTCGCCGCCTTGCCTCCATTGCGCCTGCCATGCGCCCGTTCTGTAGTGGACGCCCTTGACCCCGCTCTGGTGCTTAGCCGGCTCCCGCACAGATGCCCGCCGCAACGCTCCATCTCGCGACGATGCTCCTCTGCCAACGCCTGACATACACATATACAGAGAGTCGCGGCGGTGGTTGTGTCGCGGCGGCGGCCAGCGTTGAGTCGTCCCATTCGCCCGTAGAACTATCATGTTGATACACAACAGAGAAGATGCCCTTCGCCTTTATGTTTTGTCGTGCTATATTTGCATTCACCCCACCTCCTCGCGCCACTTGAGAAACCCCTCCTCTCAATCGCATCATGCGCAAATGGAACGCCTGCCTCCCCCTCTGGGTCCTCTGTAAAACAAACACGAAGTGACCGTAAAACAAAAGGGGCGGCATGTCAATTTCTCACCGCGCTGCACAACGCGCGATAGGCCACATATACAACGGGCACATATACCATCCCTGTGAAAAAAGATATTGCACAAGTGCCGTGTATATGTGGCCGTTGTGGCTCCTCTCTCACCCCTGCACACGAGGCTGCACGTAGAGGTAGTAGAAGTCAGATATGGCCATCCTTGCACACCTCTCGATCAGCCACCGCTGGCGCGGCATCTCCTCCTCCAGCCACCTCACGAGATTGACCGCATACTGCGACACATAATGCAGGAAGTCAGCGCAGGGAATGTCAAGCGCAATGCGTACCTTGAGCTGGTGGGACCTGACGAAGCGATCAAGCTCAGCCCACTCAATTCCTGCACACAAAACATGGAGAGACTCCGACGTCGACTCCTTCGTCTTCAGTTGACCAGTCAGTGCAAAGGAGTGTGTGGCTATGCGCACGAGGGGGAAGAAGGAAGTCAGAGGAGTTGCTGACTGATTGACATGGGAATTTTACGTAAATGCATAACGGGCGAGAAAAAACTCACATATGACACCCCCTAACAGCTGTGAGGAATAGTCCGACACAGGTAAACCGACTTAGGCATGGGGTATCGCTCTACATGAGTCAAGGCGGAGAGGGAGCTTGGAAAGGGAGACTGCGCGCTAGGGGGCGTGCCACGTGGACGTCCCTCGTGTGGCTCAATGGGTGATTATTCGACCTTATCAGTGGTTCGACCTTATCGTGCCACGTGATCGTATGCACGACTTGTGGCTCGAAGAACTAAGTGGAGCTCTATCTGTCGTCGTGCTCCACTAGTCAAAGACATGAATCTCAGCTCGCAGCGCGGGCCGCGTTTTCTCCTCTACGAGGCTTTTTTCAAGGTTGAACAATTTCATGGGGCCCCTCCCTCAACAGTTGTTCCCATGTCCATTGAATTTACCATGCGGCCCGGTCTCCCCCGTATGCGGCCGCCTCCTCGATTCTTTTTTGCCCATGTCAGCCTGGGATTCGTGCTGTGTTTGATCCTTGATGTCAGCGCCGTCTATTCGGCCATCAACATCTCTTACCCAGCGACGGACCTCTTGGCCAGGGTTCTGCGCTTGACGTCTAGCGACTTCTTTTCGGACGACTTTCGACGGCTATGGTGAGTTAAACATTTGTGCACAGCCGAACAGACGCTGCTCTCATCTTCTGAATGCTCCTTCAGCGAGCCTATCAATATAGCCCTGGCGACTACACGATCATATTTTCTCGGCACGACAGCAGCTATTGCATCCATTCTTGCACATTCACAAGATCCTGACAGGCTGCATTTCCACATTTTCGTACCACAAAGCTCTGCTGCCCTCTTGGAAGACGTCATAGAGTGCTCTCACGTTGCTGCCGACAAACTCGCACGAATCAGGATTCATCCCGTGGATATTGACATGAACCTCCCGGAGGTACATCAAAGCCCCGTCAGCATTGCACAGGGTGGCTCCCCCGCCTTGCACTTCAACTATCTGCGATTTTACCTCGGGGAGCTGCTTCCGAACATCACGGACTGTATTTGGCTTGACTCTGACGTTATCTTCCAAGATGCAATCGAGAGGCTCCATGAAGAAGCATGGGGTATGATGTCACATTTCCAATTGTCACTTGTACGAGATGGGGACCACGAAACGTGCGAGGACAAGGAGGACCGTGACGGCTCAGGATGGCGGCATTCAACTAATGCGAGCCAGGAGGTGCCTTCTTGGATTCCCCTCTCGGATGTTCGCAGCTTTCCTGCAGCCTTTGCAATACCGGCCCCACCCGACCCGTTCCCTCTCTCTCATGCGCTCAACGCTCGAGGCAAATCTGTCCTCACGGGATTGAGAATCAGCCCAAGACACGCACTTCTGCTCAACCCAGGGGTCTTCGTGGCAAATTTGACATTATGCCGCAAGCTCCGCGTTTCGAAAAAGTTTGAGCAGGTGATCAATACTTTGCGAGAGAATGATGCTGGTCAAGGGCCAGGGATGCACTACAACGAGAGTATCAGAGAGTCTGCAAACCTGCCCTTCTCTCTGTTGGCTCAACGCGTGGGTTGGGCCCCGCTGTCACACAACTGGAACGTGCTCTGGGCAGGTGTGGAGACACGCAGCCGCCAGTGAACGATTCAAGAAGGAGTGCTGTGTATGCAGGCCAGAAGAGCTATTACATGAATAATCTGCACAGGGCGCATGTACTAAACTACTCAGGCCCAGTCAAGCCTTGGACATGGCTAACGAGAAATGCGGTTCTGTGCACGGATCAAACAGGACAATAAACCTGAGATTCGTACTTTTTTTAGAGGCTTTTCAAGCAGTACACTATATCCAAGCAATGTCTCGCAGGTCTGCAAATGTATCGTTTGTCTCCCGGTATTTATCTGTTAACAACTTGCTTTGCGCAGACAGGGAGGAGTCGGAGAACGACTCAAGGCAAGCGTTCCACTATGTGCCTTCGTTTCGTTTCTACGCTCGCTGTTCATCTGTCGGAGACGCGGAATCGCAATTCTGTGAGATCAACCAAACCGTCAGTCAATCCCTACAGCGAAAAGCACAGTACATGGTAAAAAGCGTTGACCAGACGACCGTGGAAGTGTCTCCTCCGTAGACATGGTTTCGTTTGTTGTCTCAGGAGCTTAGTCTGCAGAGGATTGAACGAATTGCCATGAAATTCGTTTGGAAGAAATGACGTTACAATCATTTTACGAGAGTGATCAATAGATGCAAATGGCTGAGTGTCAACACATACGAGAATTCATACGACAAAGACAGACATTGATACAAGAAAGGCCCCTGAAGTCGACGCTAGTTTCCACATCCAGACAACACACAGACTGCCACGACACACACACACACACACACTACATCACCCCACGATGTGCACTATTGCTCTACATACTTATACGTCCCCCACAGGTCCCACCACGTCTTAACCAGCGAAGATCGCATAGACGGTTTCAAATACTGGCATCCATCATCATACGTCTCAAGAGGTGGCCCGTCAGAAGCGCTGCGCCAGCAAGCACGCCGCAACCACGCGTACTTGTGTCTCCTTGTGCGGCTCTTGACGAAGTTTGTCCAACTATTCGGACCACTCCACGGCTTGACACCACCCTTGTAGTGCAAAATGACAGGTCGCCAGGACGGGTCATCCTTGAGTTTGCCATTGATTGCTTCAAGGTCTACAGGAACGACCAAAAGACATTATGAGCACAGGCAGACATCGACACAGCTCGTTACCCTCCGAGCCCACAAAGACATTATATTCCATAGGCAGCTCACGAAAGCTTCCATTGAAGAAAAAATTGAGTGCGGTCTGGTCGTCGAATCCCCACTGACGGTTCCATCCGCCAATCGTGGATGAGGCATTCGAGCACCGGAGCGCTGGCAGACTCATTAACAAGACGCCTGCTATGTAGAAAGAAAGTGTCGTTTGAAAAATCGCCGTGAGCCGCACACCTGGGTTGAATGTCTTGCTGCCTCCCTTCCACATAATCTTGTCTTTCAGTCCTCCTGTTTCCAGCCATTTGTCGACAGATCCCTCGGTGCTCTCGACATGTCGCGGCTTAGCCGCAATGGCTTCGTCAGGTCCCAGTGGCATGACGAACAAAGGCTCGAGGGAGCCATTCACGATGACATCGTAGTCGAGGTAAAGGACTTTTGCGACAGAAAGAGGTAGCAGGGCAGGCAACAAGATGCGGATGTTCGTCGCGCTCGTGATGGGGGCTTCGCCGGTGCTGACGTCGTTGCGTCGCATTGCCGCACCGACTCGATTGCTTCGGAAAGTCAGAAAAGCACCTTCAAGTTGAGTGAAGTTGATCAGGTGCAACTGCAAAGAGGGCCACCTTCTCCTGGACACGGCTTCGTCCTCAAGCACGATGATTGTTGGGTGATGAGAAGGGACGTCCATCGTCACAAGATGGACATCAACGCACCCCGTCACTGCCGTGTCGCGATGGTTGACGTGCAGTGAGTTGAGGAGCGTCGGAATGGGCTGAAGGCCAGCATCATCCACCCCGAGTGCTATGTGGGCCCTACGGTCACCACAGGCCTGGTCCGTTGCAGTTCTGCCCTGTGCTCGCGCCATGCACTCGCGAAAGGCGTTGCTTCTAGAGCTTCCATTCACCCAAGGAGATTGCGACGAAAGCTCCAACAGCTGACGGCCAGGCGGGTGGAACGGAGGAATGAACTGCGCCAGGAGAAAGAAAGCCGCCAACGATGTAACGCAACAAACGAAACGAAGGTAGGTCATGAGTCCAAAACATGGGTCACATTTTCCCCTTCCACAGGATATCACGACTGATACGCGATTGCAACCCTAACTCGTGCACGTACTTTTCTGATCGTTATCGTCCGGGAGACACGAGTCAAACACATAACCAGCTAAGCGGCCTTTCTCCCAATACCCGCGGCGAGGCCGCCTCGCCTCCCCGCGAGCATTAACCACTGCCCACGGTCCTTTCCGGCCACTGATGTAGAAGACGTCCTATCGTTTCTGTCTTTCGCAGACGACTTGCTTTAGCCAAAGTTCAAGCATTGCCATGTCACTTGCGTCGCCCGACTGCAGATTCATATGATACATGAAGTGGTGTCGGAGAAGGAGCAAATCGTGTTGCTTCTGCATCACTTCAGCCACAGACATATTCAAAAGTATCTCCCTAGTCTTCCTTACATCCGCCTCCCGAACCAGCACAGCGAGAGTCGTCCAGTCCCAGAAGCATCCCTGTGGCATCCAGTAGTCATCAGCCAGCACGACTGGGATGCAGCCGAAGAACATCGCCTCCATCAGCCTAGGGCTCCAGCCTCTCCATCCCCTCGGACACAGACAGAAAATAGAATTTCGTAGTCCGCTCTCATACTCTCGCCGCCTGAACTTGTGCTGGACGACAAACGACCCGGGCGTATCTTGAAAGATCTTGACAAGGTCAGCACGCACAGTATTTCTTATCTTTCCCGCGAAGAAAACGAAATAGCGCCGACCAGTGGCTTGAAGCAACGTAGAGACCGTTGATGCAGACGAGTGCTTATATTCTGGCCCGATGATCGGTCCTGTGACGTCTCTAAGTGCTCTCGCTGCAAGCATGATGTTACCTGACAGGCTAATGGAGACATCGCGGCGCGGATCGAAACTACACCATAATGTGAACACAGCCGGGATACAAAAAGGGGAACATCCATAATGTGATTTCAATGAGGCCGCACTTCCACAGCTGACATGTACGGCGGCTTATAGGGGATCTTGATCGGCTTACTCGACGACCAGGACTTGAATCTCTCCACGTTGTGCATCTATTCAGGATGGATTGGACAATATGTCTCAATCCGATGCTACGGACTACCTTACCGTTTCATACTCATGTCTCTTAACCAGGTCAGCAGTGCATGTGAGTACACTGCCGTTATGGACAAAGACGGGGTCAGCAAACGCGAGAAAGTCTGCTCGTCCACCGTCGTGGGATGTTGTCAAAAAATGCAATCGCCCTTTTGAACGGTTGAAGTAGGGAAATTGCTTCGTGATGTCCTCGATCGTTTTCCTTATGTCTTCTGCGCTCCGCCAGACGTCAAAGTTCGGAACAGTCAAATCTGGCATGAAGTGAGCCAGCAACTGATTCCAATGGACTCTGAGATCATTGCGGTGCGCGAAGGTGGCTGTGGTCGGGAAGACAGGCAAGGCAAACAGAGCATCGGTTTCTTCAGGCAATGCTGTTTCCGACGGTAAAACCGCGAAGTTGGGCAACTGCTGCATGTTTGACCTGTGCAAGATGCATCATACTTATCGCGACAGTGTGGGTCAATGTTCATATAATGCGTGGTGGGCCGACTGACCAGATGATGCGCTCCGTCTGATACCCTGTCAGCAATGGACAGAATAGAAAATCACTGGCAGAATGTGGTCATGTGTTACCCGGATTTCCTGACGCTCTGAGAATCTGTCGAACCGACAGGAATTCAGGAATCATCCTGAAGTCTGCAAATTAGAACCACACTGAAAGTGGATACGCCTCTGCAAGGCATGTACCTGTGGTGGTTATCGGATATTGATACACAGTGAGATTGCAGTGCATTTCGTTTAGAAGGTCCGCCACCAATTCGTCCATATGTGACAAACCGCGTCCCTTTGCATTCTTCCCGCCGAAATGCCTCGTTGTCGCAACGAAGTCCGGCACACCATTAGACCTCAAAGGGTGAAGGAGGCATTGGCAAAGTTGTTCAACTTCGCTCCTCTCAGGCTGAGTCTCTTTCCTCCTACGCGCCAGGCATCTCACGTTTGTCCCGTGGAAGTCGTTCCCAAGAAGCAAGGCCAAATTCAAGATATCATTTGATAGGCGCATCTCGAAAATGAGCTCCTTCACGACGCCTCGCACGACCAGAAAGACAACGACAGCGGCCAAACTGACCCCAAGCAACAAGCGGAACTTCACTCTCATCACCATGAATCAATGCAGCACCCTGAGTTTCAGCCAGCGTTTCCATCGACATGAGGACTCCACATGGAGACAAAATCCGGTTGTTTTAGGGGAAGCGGCCGTAAAAGCGCGAGGGGGATTCGTTGCTACCTTGGTGAATGGGGTGAACCCCGAGCATTCAGTCGGCAAAGACCAGAAAAATCACCCGGGAGAAGGGAAAAGGCAATGCAGGCAGGAATCGCAACATGCCTGTGCTCTCCTTGTTTGTGATTTTTTTGGTATTGGCACTGCTCGCCACGTCCCTCTTCTTCGCGGTTCAATCACCCGAATGTGTGACTCTGACGCTGGGAGACAGCCATGGCTTTGCAGTCAGCTGCGACGGCACACAGCCCTCGATACCGCGACAGGTAATGCAGCATCGCAGCCATTGGTCCCCAGAAATAGTAGCTCTGTTGTGCAGGTCTTTCTCACAACAAAAGACAAAGCAACAATGAGAACGTGGGAAAGAAAGAACATAAAGAAGTGCAAGAGTGTGAATCCCGGATGGGCTTTTAACTTGTACAACGACACGGAGATTAATGACTACGTGCAAGAAAGATTTCCTGAGATGATGGATGTGTGGGGATTCTTTCGGAACAGTGTCGAGAAGACGGTAGGAGTATGGCATAATTATCACGCAGTAGGTGGCACTACTGGCAATGCGACGATCTGAGCAGGACTTTTGGCGATATCTAATTGTCTACGACTACGGAGGATTATACATGGACACCGACATCGATTGTCGCCGCCCCATTGACGAGTTGATAGTCAACAAGAGCATTAGAGGTCAGTACTGAGAAGCAGAAGAGGAAGAAGAGGAGCCGTCTTGTTGATGCGTCACAAATGCGCTTTTGCAGGCCTTGTTGGTCTGGAGAACGTGCAAGAAGGGGATGACGTAGTGCAATTTGCGCAGGTCCAACTCTCGCTCGTTTGCCCGAGGATCGCAACCTTTTGTCTCATTTTGAACTGCAGTACAGTTTTGCCTTCGCCCCACGACATGTAGTTCCACTGTGGACCCTCAAGGAGATACGCAACAAAGTGCAGGCAATCAAGGTATCGGGCTCTTCAGATGTGTACGCCCTCAACCTTACAGGACCCATCATATGGACGAGCGCTATTTTGCAGTATATGAGTGTCTTTGGCATGGGTAAGGCGGCAACCTTCCAACGGGGGGATCACCTTGTCGGCGACATGCAGCTGCTGGACATCAATCGATTTGGCGCGATGAAAGGGCGGTCAATTGCGACGCGTGACTGCAAGCATCCCGACATCTATATGATCCATCAATTTGCCGGAAGCTGGGTTGCCAAGTACAGAGGGTACACAGACGAGCAGATGGCAGACGGAGGGAAACAGACACGATCAAGCAGTCGAAACAACTGGAGACCCCGTTGCGCGGACAATCGGTGAGGGCAACAACATCTGTGTCTAGCCACAAGGCAAATCGAGCTGCCGGAGGAAGACCGGTCATGTAAAATATTAAGCTGATTGATTGTGTGGAGAACTGGACGGTTGCAGGAGAATGGGGTCGGGCATGTGTTTTCAGCACACAAAAGACTTTTCTTTGTCCTTTCACTTGAATGTGACCTCGTCGGGAGACACTGGCATATTGGTAACATCGGATGGGCAACGCTTTCAGGGGATCGGCAATAAGACGTGCGAAAGGGCCTGACGAAAGTGAATCGAAGCAGTGGAATTCAGATTCTTTGAACCAGTGTGAATCACAAATGTGTGACATCGACATTTTCTCGGCCATGCCGGGTGTGGGTCTACGCACTGTTTGGTGTTCACGCAAAAAGGAGACGGTATTGTTGATATTGTCGCGTGAGACGAATTTTTTACCTGGAAGCATTTGTCTCCTTTTTGCGTGAGACATACGGAGGCGCATCGGTTGGGACGACGATACGGACATGTCAGATTACAAGTTTGCCAGCCAAGAGGAGGCCGCGAGGTGAATGCAGCGGTGCATCAGGGGCTGGACTTTTTGTCCCCCAGAGACGGCTGGCCAGACAGGAAGCAATTGTGTGTTGCACTCCAGCCAGAGAGACTTGATCCGCAAAGCCGATGGGTCTACATTCAGTGTCAGCTCAGTCGGTAGGGTCCGTAGATTCATCAAACACTTCCCGGTATTGTCTGCTGACAGAGAGGATATAGATATGGCTATTGAGATGGCTATTGAGATGGCTGTTGAGTATAGGGAGTGCGCGAGAGGAGGTGCGTTCGTTAGAGCTCGCCGCTGAGGCAGCAAAGGCCCAGGCCTTGTTGGAAGTGGAGAAATCATGAGTGTGTGGCTATGCGTACGAGGGGGAAGAAGAGGAAGTCAGAAGAGTCGTTGCTTACAGAGGACAATTAGTAGTTGACTGATTGACTGGTTGTGGCGAGCATAGAATCGGGTGACACTGATTGAGCTAGGAGAGGGGGTTAGAATTCAGGCGGTCGTTGGGAGACACTGCATGTACATTAAAAAATGCATCTCAGTGGATCACATGGGCAACAAGACATGCCCAAGATTCTGACGAAAGTCCAGCAGAGCTTTGGACTGCAGATTCTTTGAACCAGCGTGAATCACAAATGTGTGACATCGGCACTTTCTCCGCCATGCCGGGTGTGGGTCTACGCACTGTTGGCGTCACAAGGAAAAGATTTATCGTTGCGTGATATCGAGGTCTTAACTTACCTGGAGAAGAGTTGCCTGTGACGGACCATTATCGACAGCAAGCAAGAATGGGACAGTTTTAAAATCTTGTAGCCTTTGCTGTCTTCGCCCGATGCAGTAGAATGCGCGGTGACAGTGATACCACCGAATATCAGCACTTTTAGCACTTCTCCAGCATTCGTTGTCCTTCAATTTTCTGTGAATGCAGGCGTCGTTGTACGAGAAGCTGCCGTTCGCATACGCTTGGAAGGCGTGTTGAATGGCATGCTGGAGTGACGTCTGCTCAGCCGGATGCCGCTGGAAGAAATGTCCATCGTCCCAGGCCCGAGTCAGAACCATGTCTGTCCACTTTCCTTTCCTTCTGAAGATCATGACACCTGCGACGGAAGGCAGAGAAAGGCAAAGGCGGGTCATATGGACAAATGAAAGGCGGTACCGGTATTCAGCCATGAGTCCTTCTGCACAATGAGTTGAACATTAGAGAGCACCTGAGGTTCCCGGGCGATTAAGTCACTGTAAGCGGTGTAGAGTCGAGGCGAAAAGAAGTCTGTGACAAGAAGATTGTAATCTTTGACAAAGGCGTCACTATCCATCCACAGCACAGTGGAATACGCCTTCAGTAGACGGCGAATAAGCAATATCTGAAAAAGAAGTGTGTGGAACGTATGAAGGCACAAGAATTCAAAGGCTACCTTTACATAGTACACCGATCTCCCTTCCAGGTTGGAGTGACTGCTATCTTGGACAAATAGAGGAATATTTCGTAGGTGAGCATAAAGTGCGATATTAAAGATGCAGTCGAGACATGCCAGGTTGATCAAAGTGGCATTTTTGGCGCCAAATAGAAACTGCACATATACAGACACCCACACACTCGCCCGTCGGATTCCCTCTTGCACTATGGTTCATTCTGTATGTTACGTTCCAGGCCGTGGCCATGACCACAGACGGCGACTCTGTTATTGCCTCAATTTTCGCCCCTCGGCGACTCAATGTTCGCAATGCCAGTGCCAGCGTATCGCCCTCGAAATAGACTCTGTAGGTCTCGCAAGGCTCCTGTCTTGTCTTGATATGAGAGGTGACATGAATGTCCGCAGCGAGATCTGTCTCATTCCCTCGCAGCCTGCAAATGAGGGGGCACGGGTCGTCTAGTTGCTGTTGAGTCTTCGGAGGAAGAGGAAACGAGTCGAACGGGAAGAAGAGGAGACGAATCATAGAAGAAGAACGGCTGCGACGATGACGAGACTCCACCAGAGTGTGTGCACGGGATTAACGGAAAGCGCGTCAGCACGAGGAGTCCGTCAAGAATGCAAACTAAAAACTAGCTAGCTGTCCCTTCCATTCAATCACTGCAAGCATGCCAAATGTAACCCTCTGCCCGACCACCCACCGAGTCCGTCATAGATCATCAACCCTTGACATATAGAGTGCACATAAGTGATGCCCCTGGGGAAGTGGCCGTCAACCAGATGTTCAAACGACGACGCACAAAGGGACTCCACCAGACCATCTTCATTTTGTTTCTTCCCTGAACGCTGAATGTGAAATAGTTCAGAGACCTCGAGTCTGAACCCCATCTCAAATGGCAACGGCCCATCCACGGCTGACCGACGAGGCCCTCTGTACTGAGGAATTTACATTGACAGTGCAAATTCGCAGGGGCCGTTGTCCGCGGAACCCAATGCGGCGGCGTGACTGCCCGACGAATGCAAACAAGTACAAGCGATGCAGCTGCAGAAACACGTACTTCTAGCGTTCTTCTGACAGAATTGCGCAGGAGTCGGCGAGTCGCCCCCCATGTCGGCCATCTCGGTGATGCATGATCTGATTGCCCAGATGCTGAAATATCTCTTCCAATGCAGGCATGCTGTTCCAGCCTGCCGGCACATCAGCGTTCAGCCGGGTGCCGAAAAGAAGTGATCTTCCGGCAATGTCCGTGCACTTTCCCTTCTAACGATCACAACGCCTGCCAGGACAACAGAAGGGAAGCGGCTCATTGACAACAGAAAGGCCATGCCCTTCTGAACTTTCCCGCGTAACTCAATCAGGATTGGTGCACAGCAGAGGAGCTCGAAATTCTTGATCTATCTCGAGCATGGCTCAGACACAATGTGCCAGAGCCAGTGGTTTCGCGGGGAGAGAAATCAATCCGTCAATTCTCTCTCTCTGACGGAGAGACGATGTTCTGAGGAGGGTGCCGTCAGCCACGAGATAAAAGAAGGGCCGTCAGCGGCGAGACTTCGCGCCCAGCGGTCAGCCGCGCATGGTTCGTGGACTTGTCATTGCGTCTCTGGCTTCCGTATCCCTTTGGGTCATTGCAATGACTCGTTTCCATTTTCACGGTGGCCGACACTGTCCTGAGGACGCCAGTGCCGGGGGAAGACTGCTTTCGCTGGCTAGCCACCCAGCCAAGCAAATCAGTGGTATGCATGAATGCCTGTGGATTCTTGTAGACCAGCTCCAACGCCACATCCAAACGCTGCCCATTCTCGCACACCGGAACCAGCTTGGTGCGATGCTTCAAAGGCTGGATAACATGGAAGTCGGTGCTGAGATTGGAGTACAGCAGGGCCACTTCTCCAAGATTACACTGAGCCGCTGGTCCAAGGCGAAGATGTATTATCTCATTGACGTCTGGCTCAAAACAAGACGCCAGCTATGGAGGCACGGGGTTCGGTGACCAGGCTAACAGGGATGACCAGACACAAGAGAGATTCTATCGAGAAGCCCAAGCCGCTCTGTCTCGCTATGAGAACAAAACGGTGTTCATCAGGGACTTCTCCACCGAGGCGGCAAAGCAGATTCCGGACGGCTCGCTAGACTATGTGTACATCGACGCTCGCCACGATTTCTGTTCGGTATATCAGGACCTGACGACTTATTGGCGCAAGGTTCGTGACGAGGGAATCATGGCCGGCCATGACTACGATTCGTTGCCGAGATGGAGCACATGCCCGAATGGGACGGTGGAGCCGTCCGCTGTGAAAGGGGCGGTGAATAAATTTGTGACAGAGAAGGGTGTATCTTCAAGTATGAGGCTGACGGTGAAAAGGAGTACCGATCGTGGTACTTCCGGAAGCCTGCCATTCATACAGTCGAAGATCTTCCCTCTTCATCCCGCAGGCTTTTAAGAAGTCACTGCGGACTCTGAAGACAGTGCCCGTCTACTCATCGAAGAGGCTATCCTGGTCCGAGGAGTACCATCCATCCATCAGTGATATTCATCGGCCTTTCTATCGGGGAGGCAGCGATACCACACAGAATGGACGCATGTCTCCGTTGTGCTCCAATGGGAGCCGGTTCAATGACCAATGTCTCAGTGCTCTCGAAGATAGAAAAGGATTGTTTCCGGAAATGAGACTGGATACGGAAATGCAACTGGATGTCCTTGCAGACAATGGACAAAATTCTTGCTGTCCCTGTGCAGCGAATGTCTGTCTATCTTGTGATTACTCGCCATTCCGTGCGTGCATGGATGGGTGTGTGCTTTTGAGGTAGTTTGTATTTCCCCAGATCGACAACTTCGCAACACGCCACGCAACACGAAAGAAACGACAGGCACACGCACCACGCCCTACGCTCTTCCCTCTATATCTCTTCACTCCCCTGTTTGGGATGTCTTAAAAAATGGATCGACGGCAGGACATGTTGAAAGACCCTCTCCGCATGTCTGTGATGCCGATTTCGGCCTGCCGAGGGGAAAGTGGAGTAACGTCCCGTTTGTTAAGAACACGCTTTCAAGCAGTGCACGGAGCAGTGCTGGTAATCACGAGTCGAGCAAGCGACATCTGAACAGCATCCGTACACGTCATCTTCTTCCCATCTGGCCTTTCTCTTGGCTGTCGTCTGTATTTGCTTGGTCTGAGTCGGGTGATTCGACATCATTGTCGTCTGCATTTGCTTTGCTCCGTGGTGTTGCAGTCGTTCAATGATGGGCACAGTAGTAATTTCGACGTCCACCGGGTGTTTGTCCGATTGACCAGAGCTGTCGACAGCGGCCAGCCAGATTAGCCACCGAGTTGGCATGTCTTGACAAGACACGGTTTGACCAGCGCAGGCCGAGGAGCGGGGGAAGGAAGAAGAAGAAGAAGAAAACAACAACAACAACAAGAACAACAAACAAACAAACAAACACACAAAAACAAAACAAAACAAAACAACAACAACAAAAAAACACAGACACACAAACACACAAACACACAAACACACAAACACACAAGCACACAAACACACATGGAGGGGTTTTGGGGGATGGTGATGCGACGGGTGGTCCCGACTTTGTGTCTTTCCGGGACCGAAAAGAAGAAAAAATCCGGCATATGCACCCCC